GGCAGTGATAGGGGCTTGAACCTCCGAGCTTCTGATCAGTAATCCAAAGCCTTAACCATTGAGCCTCCACTGCCCCTTCATAATCCACTACATCATCATTTGGCTAATTGATGCAGGACAAATAATCGTCACAAAGAGGAGGATGGGTTGGCTTTTGAGTCTGGTTCCTCTGAAGGTTTCTTCCTCGTGTTGTCTCAGGGAGTTTTTCCTCGCCACAGTCGCCTCTGTGGAAATTCTGCCCTTAATTTTAATATGTTGAAATATGTTATATTTATGGCAACAGTTTGGGGGAAGACCCAAATATGGAAGTGATGGTCAGGTGTCCACAAACATATCTATTAACCCACATCAAATAAGGAAAGACTACATTCGCATCTCTCAACAAAGCACTTGTTTTTCCTAGATCTGACCCTCAACCTTATTTATGAGGGAAGGAAATGATATTTTTAGCCCCCAGCAATGCAAACAGTGACTCATCAATCTCACACGGTGATCAAAATTTCCATGCACAAAAAAACCCAGGTTGTTGCATGAAATAAATTTTTAAAAATCATGCTGTCAGGAAAAGCTCTTCCTGTGGCGAGTGGTGTTTTCGCCACAGAGACTCAGCTCGAGCTGACACCTGGCTGACCTTTAACACTGGCACTGAATCTGACGAAGACACAGAGTCGTTACCTATCAAGCACAGGTAGTAAAAATCCAAATAATTCCTAACGTATTAAGTAAAGTTTAAACCATGATATTTCATGGTGTGGGTGCCAGCTGAGTTTTAAGGGTTACTAAGGATCCCCTGCAACAACACACAGCACTTCCAGTGTGCACTTCTGACCTTCCTGTAAAGAAAATGTCTACTTTAATTACCATTCAAAGTGAAAAATGTGCAGTGAAGGAGAAGTGGTTTCTCCCACAATGACTGAACGAATAAGAAGCATTATTGACTCGCAACAACGTAAAAAAAAAAGGTTAAAAGGTTAAAGCTTTTCTACTTTGATTATCCATGAAAAGGTTTGAAAGCACGAAGGTCACGCGCTGCTTAAATAAATCAATAGCAGTGACCTACTCGTGCTAACAGGACAATTTGTTCATGGTTACAGTTTAACCTGCATAGGCTTAATAAAAAATAATAAATACGCACACAGTGCTGCTCATTTCACAGCGTTTTTTGGAAATGCATGATCTTAAAGAAACATACGATTCATAGAAGGCAGTGAAGGAGAATGCCCGTTTATATAGATATTATATTTTATATTTTTATATAATATTTTCTATTGTTGTTATTTCCACCTCACACACGCATGGAATCCTATAACCAGAACATTCACTGCTCTGCATTTGCGTAATGATGTGCTGGCAGTCTTCTGAAGGAGCCTGACCTTCTCATCATTATTTCACAAAGCGTATACAGTTTTATAGATCACAGGTTATCAAGGGCGCTCCTCGGAACAAGGGCCACAAATCATTCCTTCTCCCTCTGACATACAGGAACACAGGAGAGGGGGGCAAATAAAGCTACACAGCTATCCAGCTAAATCAATGCCAAAAAAAAACAATCTTATGCACAATAATCTAAGAGAGAGAGAGAGAGAGAGAGAGAGAGAGAGAGAGAGAGAGAGAGATTCAGTAACACACAAATGCCATACTTTTGTTTATAAAAGAAGACAGTGCCCCCTGTATTATGTAGTCATGTACTGCACTTAAATCTGAAGTGGGTGGGGAGGGAGGGTGAAGAGGGAGGGTGGAGATGAAACAGATGGAGATCACATACACACACACACACAAACACACACAAGGAACAAATGCCTTTTTGCAGCTCCACGCTCACCTGCCCCAAATCACAAACTAAAGGAAATGAACACTTTATTTATTCATCTTTATTTTAATTCATTGATATTTTCCATTTTATGTCATATGGATCCTCTACTTCCTCCACTTTATAAATGTGTACTACACAGAGCATAAACACACGGGCTCTATACCAGTGGTTCTCAAACTGGGTTCCCAGGGGGTCCATGATTTTATTTATATATATATATATATATACACACACACACACACACACACACACACACACACATTCTCTGTTAAAGTAACTCCAAAAAATAACCAGAATATTACTCTTTACATTTGAATACTGAGCCTAATATTTATGTTCATTGAGGGGGTTCATTAAATAAAGTGATGTGCGCTAGACAAAATGTGAAATGTTGTCCACACTTCTAACAGAAACTACTATCAGATTCAGATACATGTCTACATTCCGTCTGTACTGCACTGTACCCTGCCGGTCACATTATTTTGACAACCCCCCCATAAATTCTCCAGAATTGGAAAATCATTATTATTTTTAATATTTACTTGCCAATAGTGTGTAAACTCTGATAAAACTGTGAAATGTTGTATGTGTAACTATAAAGAGACATAAAGCTTAATGTCTCACTCTTTAATAAATACAATTAAAGGAATTAAAGACTTTGGGGCATGCTGTTATAGGAAGTATGAAACTATTATATAGGAAGCTTCATCTCTGTGAACATATCAAAGATTTCAACTGTTTAAATGAAGTGGTTACAGTAAGTGTTACATAAACATGTGATCTATAGGAAATTTGATACAGACCGTGACACCCGAAGTCAATATTTTAATTTGTAGAATAAATACTGACACGTTAAATAGCTTACGACCCCGATTTTATACATGAAAGACCAAAGAAAAACAATGACAACGTTTCTGGTAGATGTGTATTCAACTTTTTTTACGGAAGGAGTCTCCAGTGTCAGCGGTAAAGCTGAAAGTTGACATTTTCAGACATAGAAAAGTCTTCAAGACAGAGGAGTTTGTGGTTTTTGTTACCACTGCAAGCTTTTTATTTGGCATTTTAACTTTAAGAGAAAGAAGAAAGAGAGGTTTGTGAGGGTACGACTGTTTATAGCTGCAATAATGTAAGTGATTGTCTCATGGATATTCCGCAACGTTAAATTAACTAGAAGTGGTTAAAAATGAGCGATGGTGGTGTTTGATAAGTGAAAAAACATTTTATTGGTGTCAAATTGCTGTGATATAAGGGGCCCTGTGTGTGAGGAGTTTGCATGTTCTCCCCGTGCCGCGGGGATTTCCTCTGGGTACTCCGGTGTCCTCCCCCAGTCCAAAGACCTGCATGGTATTCTGATCGGCGTGTCTAAACTGTCCGTAGTGTATGAATGGGTGTGTGAGTGTGTGTGATTGTGCCCTGCGATGGATTGGCACCCTGTCCAGGGTGTACCCCGCCTTGTGCCCGATGCTCCCTGGGATACGCTCCAGGGTTCCCCGTGACCCTGAAAAGGAGTAAGAGGTTGAAGATGGATGGATAAGAGGTGTAAAACACTTCAGAAAGTGCGGTTATTGGAAAATATTCGACTTTTTCGTCAGGCCGTTTATCATCACACCGTCCCGCCGTTGATTCGTTTCCTATTTAACGCACTCCCAACGTGTTTTATTCCATACATAATCAAAGAACGCGGCATTTTAGCGTGTAGACATGTACAGAATTGTTAGAATAAACCGTTTTGAATCGTTTAAATGTAAAATGGTTGAGTAGCACTTTTACTACAGGACGTCCTATAGGGCATTTAGGGCAGGCTCCCTAAGGAAACAACGTGTTTATTGTCTGTGTAGGAAATCGATTGTGATACATCAGGTCAAAACACCTACTCTGAAGTAAATTGTTTTTGTTTATTTTCCCCACACAGAAGATTAGCCTAGCATTACTTCATGTCCTGCTTAAAAGTACATGAAAACACGAAAGAAAAGAAACAATGAACAATTTTATTTATATATATATTTTTTAAAACTTGATGTGACCAAAAATAAATCACCAGTGTGATTTAGGTCGCGTTAAACGAGAAAAAGCCGTGTAAAATGTGAAGAAATGTCGGCGTTTCGAGTGGATTGCGGTGCATTCTGGGACAGAGAGGAGTGATTGACGTGGCGGCCATTTTGGCGCTGGCCGCTTGGTTCCCATTGTGTGTGATAGTAAATACTGAGAGTGCCAGGCAAAGCTCTGCACATATTTCACTGCGACAAATTAAACACGTTCGCTGAAGGTAAGTGCCCGGACTGTTCGCCAATTTTAGCCTAAGACACTTTTTCACAGCTTTGTCGAACTTTGGGGCGGAATTATTGGTGTTTTGCGCGGAAAAAAACCGTGAGGTTTGCGTCGTCTGCGAGCGAGCAAAGCGCCGAGAGAACGCGGGCTCTGCTGCTCCGCGTCGTCGAAAATCCGTCCCACTTTCTAACCTGCCCTTTTCACTTGGCTTATTCGCCTCGAACCCGCCACTGAAAACTCCTTTTAACCGGCCTTGCTGTTGCACAAGGGGGTCTAGTCCGCGGCCGTGAAACGTTCGAGTCGCCTCGCGTCGCGGATTTTGAATTTTCCGTCAAAGTTGACGCGCTCGGCTCCGCTTCAGTACGGGCTCGCGCTCACAGTCGCTGTTCGAATCGCGGCCATAATCTTGCGGTAGTGGGCGGGGCCACAAGAGGCTGAGCTGCCCCCGCAACATGCCAGCGCGGTCGCTGATTGGCTGAAGCCGGGAGCTTCTGCTGTTTCATTGGTTCGGCGGCCCGTTGAGCGAATGCACGGCTTTGTGATTGGCTCACACGTGCTTTCGGTCCGCGCTGATTGGTCCGTTTCGGTTGTTGGCTTTTGGGTTGTTGTTTTCTCTTCTTTCTTTCTTTCTTTCGTTCATTCTCCTGTTTTTGCGCGTGCGAGAGGAAGTTGCCCGAAATAGAACACGGGACCGGAAGCCGCGCTTGCGTGCAAAGTCTTTGTTATTTAAAACCCACTTTATTTGCAAACACGACTATTATAACTTTGTATAAATCTTTTTTTTTTATTAAATGTTAAATATCCGTTAAGTGCACGAGTATAATTTTAGGTGTAAATAATAATATATTTTTAGATAATAGAATAGAATTAGGTGTTCATTATTATTATTATTATTCAAATAATTCATATTCTGTGATAAATATGCATATTTTTTACTCTTTATTTTAATGGGCATTTTAGTCGATCGTCTTATGTGTCTTTATTTTAAATTT